AGTTATTACAAAATTACAAAACAAAACAAAAAACGTTATGCGTAGGTACTATTGTTTTATTTAATTTATTTATATATTATTAATTTAAATAAACTATTAATAACACTACACTATATGTATAAACCGTTAAGGAACATTTTGTCTGGAATTCCAAGAAGCTTAGTATATATTCCAAATAATTATGATTTGTAATATATGTAATAGAATAATAGAATTTCTCTTAGCAAAATTAAGACCGGTCGTGTTGTACCTTAACTGAAGAAAATCACCATCGAAAATTCGATCTACAATAGTTATTGATTGAAGTATCGAATAAACACAGCTTAATGTGTGATTGTGACTTTTTTACTGTCACAATGTAATGTAATTAAGAACAGCTAGAACATGGTATCCACGTCTTTTACGAGAAATGGGTTCAGAATCTCACATGCGATCGTGTGAGTACGTTTGCAGACACGTGAGTTTTGTACACGTTCATAGCAAGACCAGGTAATGTGAAATTATTGGCACAAAAATTCATATACCTATACTTACAGAAAAAAATAATGAATTATTATAATATCCCGTAAGGTTTTTGGCAAAGGAAACTATTCCTCAAACAGATCTCTAGTGAAATGCAAGTTTGCAAGAAACAGACATTTCAAACTTCGCTGACCTCACAATCACCAATGCTAATAACCAGACGAGACGGAGCTAAGTTTGACTTAGGGAAACAAGACAAGGCAAACACCCGAAAGCGATAAGTAAACTGACTGATTCCATCTTACACCTGCCAAACTTTTGTTTTGTCATTGAAATTTCGAGAGTCAACAACGCCAAATAATACTTTAAATTAATTTCTTCCAGCTACTTATTTTAGAACGATAACTTTTTTTAAAGGGTTGTATAATGTAAATAACAAACATATATGGTATTGTGGGATTGCTGGAGCTGATGGACATCACAGCACGATCCTACAGCGCCATTTACCCTGAGACTCGATATTGAATTAGGAAACTGGAGTGATTACAGGCAGTACGGTAGCTAATCAGTGTTGCACTCAGACATACTAAAGTAACTGACTGATTTTAGGTGATTAAATTCAAAAAGGCTATCCTTGGTATTTATCTACGAGACCGAATCAGAAATGAGGAGATCCATAGAAGAACCAAAGTTGCTGACATAGCCCGTAGGATTAGCACGCTGAAGTGACAGTGGGCAGGCCACATAGCGCGAAAATCGGACGGCCGATGGGGCAGAAGGATCCTCGAGTGGAGACCACGTACTGGCAAGCGCAGTGTGGGACGACCACCTACGAGATGGACCGACGACCTGGTAAGAACCGCTGGGTCACGTTGGATGCAGGTGGCAACGGACCGGCCGCACTGAAGATCACTTGGAGAGGCCTATGTTCAACATTGGACAATGGACAGGCTGAGATGATGATGATGATGAAATTCAAAGCACATGGAAGCGAATGAGAAATATAAAAATTCTAAAACAAAAGCAGTCATAAAATAAATATTTGCGTATGTACTTCTCGTATGAGTAAAATACGAGGTAAACATAAAACTCTAAGCCGCCGAAGAATACCAAGGAGGCTGGGACACTGCGTGACTTTGCACACATTCACCGCTAACAAAGCGACCAAAACAGGTAGAAAAACCCGCTCCGGCTAATATTGAGCCCTCTTTTAAAGCAAACAACGCTTTTATGTTGAAGCACAATTTTAATTAAAACAAATATTAGTGGTACGTAAAAGTAACGCTCGAACGCAAATTAGACATCGTTGCGTAACGGAAATTGAAGGCTTCCCAGAAAACATCTAATCACGGATATAAACAAAAGCACTTACAAACGAAGTCGTGTATGATTAACAAAAGCTATTTGAATAGTCAAATAAAAATCCGAAGAATGAACAACGCCGCTTTCGTTTACAGGGTGATTCGAACATCGTTCATAGCCCACGCTTTTTAAAAGTCAGATAAAATTGTGACCGGTCTCCAATTGAATTCGTTTATAAACAGTGTTTGACCTTTATAGCGGTCTTTCCATTAACATACATAAACTAATTATTATGAGAACCGATCCAATGTATTTTTTTTGAAATTCTTTTATTTTACGTACTGCCAACAATTTGGACTGCATTCGGTGATATATTTTTTATTGTTTTTTTTATTGCTCTTGTAGGCAGACGAGCATACGGCCCACCTAATGGTAAGTGGTTACCGTCGCCCATGGACTTCAGCAATGCCAGGGGCAGAGCCAAGCCGCTGCCTACCGGACAGAGCCAAACCGCTGCCTACCGTTGTAAGCCTAAGTTGTAGCTTTTAATTGGTTTACTTTATATATAGTTTTAGCTATTGACTCTATTAGACATAGAATCGAGTTTAAGTTTTCTAAAATTCTGTGACGAGTCTGTAAATACGCAAAATTATTGGACCGACAACCACCCCTCTAATAAAATTAGCAACGTAAAGGAAGCAATGTATTATGACGGCATCACAAAAGATGCATGCGGAAGGTAAAATCCATTACCCCGACCTCAGTTTTACGGTACATTTTTGATTGAATGCGATGTTCCGATAGCGGATGCTGTAACACAATGAAAGGCAACAAAACATAAATATCGGCCTATTAAATCGGAACTGCGATATTGATAGCCCGACAAAATATGTCAGTGCCTTTGTGCATGGCTCCAGAGGTAATCGTTTTACCAATGGTCGGTAGAAAAAAATGCCCATGGTATTGTCTGTCCCGTGAGCGGATGAAAGGGATCATCCCAGGTAGATACGGGGGTGGAATTCAACAATGCAGGAGTTAAAGTTAGAGATAATTTGACTCCGATAGTAATAAAATTGACGCTAATGGTCACATTAACAGGATAACAGCTTGTGCCGCTGCGTAATTGAATTTACTGAATTGCTCGTATATTAATAAATTACCTTAACCAATAAGCATCGTTGTTGTTTAATAATTTATATACGGCGAATAGCTCTTCTGGCTCTATCAAAACGATCGCTCGAAGACGGAGATGCTTTTTAGATTTTTTGTTAGCGATCCAATGCCTGTTCGTTTTAGATTCTTGGCCAATGTCGACGAACTGGTTTCAACATGTGGACGGGAAGCCGGTAAAAAACATAGGAACATAATTACTGGAGGCTCATCGCTATACAATACCAACGGTGCAGTGAGGAAGCAACAAAACGGTCAGTAAAGCAGCAATATATTCTTCCAAGCGTTTAAGTACTGAGCACTAAACTCGTTTCTGGCTGTTAGAAATGTTTTCTTGTCAAAACTACGCTAGCTTTTACATTGTACTAGTGTTCATTGTGCTATTTCTAAACTATTGTTTGCAACGCTATAAGAAACGGTGTATTGTATGTGACATTGAAAACAAAGGTTTTTTGTAAACAGTAAGAAATGAAGAACGTAAAAAACTTGAAGAATATTAAAATTCTTCGAGGTATTATATGAATTATATCGGCCTAGTAAGTTATTATGGCGGAATTGCGAAACATACAATTTCAAGTCGGGACGTTGTATTAACTAGACTGCTATTATGATAAGTATAGTTTTATCAAAATGCATTTGTTTGTACTATGATAACAGGATACAATGAACGATAACTGATCGTTATATTGTACATTCTCATGTTGTATTTGTTATTTTAGTTATGTGTTATTTGTTCTACACACACTTATCACTTTTTATTATTATTCTCATTATCCTCTCGCAGGTCTGCTGGAAGAGATTTCTCAAAGAAATAAGCAGTGCCTTTGTACATAATTTTCCTATTACTCCGTACTGTGTCTTGTTTTCTGTGTGTACATAAATAAATAAATAAATAAAAATAAATAAAACATATAAGATTAATTTGTTTCTGTATATTATTTTGAAGCGTTTAGATGCGATACTACATACTTGTATTTCCTGTTTAATTTTCAGGTTTAATAGTCAGGAAATTTATCTAACTAAAAGTTGAGTCTCTTTCAAATATCACCTGTTTAATTTTTTGAATTCAGTGCCCAGCACTATTCGGTACGCTCATGCTGACAAATGATTAATACGATACGAAAAGGCGTACCCTTCAAACAATATTCCGCCCCCTTAATCACAGTCCGGCGCAATAATTAACAACACCTCAATTAAAATATCAACGAAATATTTTCGTACGCGTGTTGATGGCAAGGTTTACCTAGAAAGTTACGAAAAACGTGATATTTTTCATCGGAGATGCATTCAACTTCTAGCTCTTAAACTGATGTTTTTAGTGTTCGTTTAACGCCTATAGAACAAATCATCATGCTTTTTATGTGCTATTTCTATTATTAATTGACTACAATCTATCTATTCTATACTAAATAGTTCTGTTCGACGTAAAAATGAATTAGGACTAAATTAGCATTAGTTATAGACTAATGAGTTTATGTGAAGCCATAAAACAAATTTGAAAATCCTATAGTAGTTTCCCTAGTTTAAAGTGAATAATCATGCTCAAGTGTAAACTAAATTAAGCTTTTAATTTAAGCAAGAGCAGTTTACATCATGTTATTATTTTTCACAAGCCCCTCATTTACTTTCTTGATAAACTTCAGATTATTTAGTCGCGAAACCCCGGGTCCATGTCAGTACAAGTCGTATCGCTAATTAACGCCTCAGGGAACTGAAACAGGTTTAGCGATTTATCGTAAAACCCAATTTAGCGCCAAGAGGCACGCGATTACAATCTTCTCACGACAGGAAGGCGCGCAAACTCCTCATCTCGAGGGAAATCACGCACGCAACAAACTTTATAGCAACACGTCTCGCGTAGCGACCCGCTCGGGGCGGTCGAAGACGCTCTGTACCACACACAAACAAGGAAATGCAAAAAAAATAAGAAAACATGGGCAGTGTCTCTCCACGTGTCGTGTGATCACACACTATGCCACTTTACATTTAATAAACAATAACACTTCCTATACGAGATCACTTCGACCGTGAGAAGCACTGCCCAAAACATAGGGCTACACACTGACCGTAGTTGAATAGGGCTGCAGACTCAGGCGTATACCATCTTGAGCGAGACGTTCTCGAAGAAGTCTCTTCAGTTGCATTCGTGGAATTTTGACAAGTTCAGCTTTTCCCTCCTCATACTCGTCAGCATACTTTGCTGGTTCGATTGAAACGGTTGCCTGCTCTTTACGAGACTCTTCCTCGCATCTACACGAGTCCCTGGCAGCTGTTGCTTCCTCGAGGGTGAAGTAAACAGCGGCTGCACCTTCCTCCCGTAAACTTCTTACTGAGTGCAACAACCGTTGACGGTGTGCAGGATTGAGTACACCGATCGCATCGAGATCTGGCTCTCCAACCTGTTTACAGATCTCCAAATCATCGTAACCATTATCAATAAAACTTTCCGCATATTGGCCCAAGTGGAGCGAACGCAACCACTCTGTGACGATGTTGCCGGTCGTAGACGAGGCCATCTCGCGTCAAAGCGCGGAGCGCATCACAAGGCGTGCACGCGGCGCGGCGGACGACGAGAAACTGTCGGCCAGGCTCCCCTTCGCCCCCTGCCCCTACATAAGCCGCGGTCGCCGCCCCGACCATTCGTGCTTTTGCTTTTTGACATTTTGTAGCTTAATCGTTTCATAGAGGTGCGACAACCACATGATCCGCCGGTTCAAGTCAAAGAAATTCATCGCTTCGTTCTTGTTTATATTACATAACTAACTGACCCGGCAGACTTCGTAGTTCCTCAATCGATAAATAAAAGATCTAAACTTTTGTATAAAATAAACTTAAAACAAACAAAAGGAATCGGTCCGACGGGGGACACATCAAAGGAAAAACAAAATTGTTATTTTTATTTCATTCCGAGCATTTTCATATTTATCTACCTTTTAAACCTTCTCTGGACTTCCACGAATAATTCAAGATAAAAATTAGCCAAATCGATCCAGCAGTTCTCGAGCTTTAGCGAGACTAACGAACAGCAATTCATTTTTATATATAGAGATATGTATATTTGATTTATTTGCGGAAGTTTCTCAATAATTTTGAACTGTTGATCAATGTGACAAAATAAATCCAAAGTCAATATTAAATGTATTAAACGGTGGGTGGTTGATGCGTGAAATGATAAATGCTTCACTTTATAAAAAATCTGAGTTAAACATCGACGTGCGACGTGCAGTAAACCAGTTCTTTTTTTTGTTGTTTTTGTTTGAATTTTAAACTCTAACCTCTGTTTGTATTGTTAAAATAGATAGTTCTAATTTTTAGGCGATTTCCTAAAAATTAACGCTTTCAGGGTCCATGTGAGTTTGAGGTATCGTTAGAATATTTAGGCGGTGTTTTGGCTATAGTCTTGGCATCGTTAACTTTTATAAGCGACTGTACTCACCTAGCACCATGCTACCAATGCGGATCTCAATACTTGTCTGCTTACAGCGTCAATAAAAGACAACATCCCTAGAGACACCGAACATTTTTACTATCGGCAGTACAGTCGTCTTAAGTTGCCGAACAAAATAATTTTGGAGAAAGAAAATAGCTATATAACATTATTTGAAACACCTTTATGAGAATGTAATGGTGATGCTGCAAGTTTTACTATTTCATGGCAGATTCCGCTTTCACTCTTCCATTTAACTTGATACTATGAAAATATAATGTATGTGGTGTTTAACATGTTAACTTTATGTGTCGAATATCTGGTTCACAGCTTTACTTCAACTAGAGGTCCCGCAGTAGTCGAAATTCGACTATAATTAATTGGAATTGTAAGTTTGTACACTATTATGATTGTATTTTATACTTCTATAAGACTACACTATAAAAAATATTAACAAAAACAAACAATATTTAATCTATTCTCAATTTGACAACAAACGTCAAGAACAAAAGCTTGACAATAAATAGTAAGCATGCGTGTGTGCGTCAAATACATGGTATGTAGTGTGTGTAATGTTTTCTTTATTGATTTAATGTATCTTTTATGCATTATTTAAAAAAAAAATTAGCATTGTGCACTTCTTCTCTATATTCTCTTTAGGTATGAAAAATTTCATACTCCTCCGTCCGCGCAATTTTCGTAAAAAGGGATAAAAAGTTTTTGCTTCACGTATTAATATATAGATAAGCTACTCGAAACCTAAATTTCGTTCTACAACAGAGAAGTTAATAACATTAATTCATTTCAGCGTAGAATGCAATTTAATACATCTGTACGTTTATATCTGTAGGCTTGAGTAAAGATAATGTATGTGTTGATTCAATATATAAGAAACAGTTGTAATATAATATGTAATTTAAATATTTTACTAACAATCACGCCACGTTAACTGGTCCCGTGATAAGTTCGTAAAGAACTTGTGTTACAGGTACCAGATATCGGAAATAAATGTAAGATTTTTATTATACACATACATATTTTTAATATACATCCATAACCCTGGAAAAGAAATTTATATTTATTATACAAATATCTTCCCTTGGCGGGATTCGAACCCGCGACCCCCTTGTGTAGTGACCATGTCACTTACCACTACACCAGACGGACGTTACATACAATACATAATATACATACATTTACTGTATTTTTGGTCGCTGTGAGCGGGTAGAGCTGACGATCCAGTCGCTGTTCATTGTGTTATAGCGGTATGTTTTCCGTTTTTCTTTTTATCTAGAAGAAAATTTTTGGTTTTCGAAATATTCTTATATAAATCTTCTTATATATGTAAAATTGTAAATTGTTATAATGTTATATTGTTTGTTGTAAAATTGTTATATTGTAAAATTGTAAATATGTAAATTTGTTATTTAGCTAATTTTTAAAAATGTGAAATCGAATAATTTCTGTTGTATTCGATAAATTAAAATTTTCGTTGCTATCAAAAATACAAGACTTTTTATAATACCTACTTTTTTTTCTTATTACCACTGTAAAAACCACCAATTTTTGTAAAAACCACAACATCATTAAGTTATATTACAACAACTGTTATGCTACGCATATACAAAAACAACCACGACTGTTCTACTGCAAGTAAGTTTTAATATTGGGATTAAACAATAGTTAAAGGGTGTAACTGAGCTGCCTATGAATACCTAATCATTTGCTCTTTACGTGTGACTGAAAAAAAATAAAAAAAGCAAACATTATAAGTATTAGGCAGCTTTTTACTTTCAAGCTACCTGCGGACAACAATTTGCCCCTTTACGACAGGTACTTTAAGCTCTCAGTTCCAAGTTAGTTATTTACATGTAATCTGTTGTATAAACGTCTTAAGCATCTATTCTAAGAGGTATTAGCCACAAAGGAGAAAACTGGGGCGAACTTTACTAAAGCTGTTGCTCATTAAAGTTCTTGAACCTGTTTTATCTCATTTCGGGGGCTGCAACAGACGAAGTTCGGGTTTATTTAAGTTTGCATGAGGCAACTCGGCCCGCTATAGTTTCCCAGATTTTGTTTATTCAATAAAGTAATGAATGCTCTACTGGGATATTCAGTTCATTCAATGTGAGAATCTTTGAACGTCGAATGCATCGTTGCTTTTGTTTTTAAATCAGTTATTTTAGGACATTCTAAAGCACGATCGATTTGCTGGTCGGGAGTGTTGATAAGACATGATTTCGTAATGTCGGGTGCAGCAACCTGTTTTAATCCTTTACTAAGTAATAATAATAATCTGTTACTAAGTAATAATAATAACAATAAGCAGCTACTAAGTAATAATAATAATAATCTGCCGCTAAAACCGTAACCGTAACGGTGTAACCAGACTCGACAAAGTGCAAAATGAGTACGCACATACGAAGTTTTAATGTCACCCCCAATTTTTGAAAACACAGAGAGTCCTCTTAGATGTTACGGACATATAATGCGGAGAGGCAATTACTACGCCTTTTGCCGGGACTTGGACCTGCCTGAAAAAAGGCGGAAAGGGCGCCCCCGGACACACGTTGGATAAATTTGACCCTATTAAACAGGCCCAACTTGACATTGTGATAACTCAGGGTAAAAATTCTCGGCGCGGACGAATTAGGAGAGTCGATGCCGAAGAAGAAAAGAAGAATTTCCTACTAAGTAATATAAATAACTAGCGACCCGCCCTCGCTTCGCTTCGGAAACTGTAATTTATTATTGATTTCTCCACTATTTAATGGATGTTATTATACACATAAACCATCCTCTTCAATCATTCTATCTATTAAAAAAAACCGCATCAAAATCCGTTGCGTAGTTTTAAAGATTTAAGCATACATAGAGACAGACAGATATAGGGACAGAGAAAGCGACTTTGTTTTATGCTATGTAGTGATAATTCATGTCGGTTTAAAGGTTTTAAACCAAGATGCGGCGTCGATATGCTGACGGTAACGGAGCCACTGTCAGCACCTTTTCGTAATGTAGCCACAATATGAACATCGAATATTTTCCCTGGAACGAATTTAGAAAAATGATTTAGCGTCTTGCTGATGATATCACGTATATTTTATTAACATAAGTTCGTTATCTATAGGCGTATCATCCATCATTCTGTAATGGAATTTTTTATTTTATTTTGAAATATTAACCTCACTAATGAGTGCAAACTAATAAATAGTTAAAGGTTTTGAATAGATAATAAACTTCTGATAAGCAAAAAAGTTTGGGAACAGGCTTTGCAATAAGCTCTTTGGTATTTTTGGGATTTTCGGGATATGTCCTTGTTTAACCGAGGCTTAAGAAGGTCGGTGTCTACCACCGCGGTTTCATCTTACTCTTTATATTACTGATGTTACCACTCACCATTACAGGCCATATGAGCATATGGGCTTTCCAGAAATATCCATGCATCAGTTACCCGCTGCATCAGTGCCCATGCATCAGTTACCCGCTGAGTTACTCGCCGGATCTTCTCAGCGGGTCGGAATTCCGGTCCGGTAGTAGATTCATTCGCGAAGCAGCTCCTCTTGAGATGTTAGGTCAGCTGCGCTCGGGTAGCTGTTAGAAAATCCCACCCCTCCTGGCTGAGCCTTTGCTCACCCACCTGTCCTGGTGAAACTGGAAAAGGCCTCCGAGCCACCAGTAATCCTTCAATCATAAAAAAGTAAAAACGATCTAATGGAATTTAAACTGTATTTTGTATTACACAAATTCCACATAGTAGTTATGAACAAAATGCCTTCGTTTGAATTTTATTCAGACGAAATGAAAATTGATAATCCAGCCAACTTATCATGATATTCGCAAGCCTGACAGAACTAGATTATGCCAACCTAGTTTTCCGCGCACTAACCATCGTTGATATACAATTCAAATGGAAGTGTCTTGAGCGTAATCAATCTATCTGCTAATTTGTCTATCTGCTAATTTTACTGGTTCGGTTCGTGTACAGCCATAACTTTATCACTTTTTAAACAGAGGAGCCCATAATCTACCTTAGCTGAATACTAGGGTCAATGGTCATCACAGCATAATCCCAGTGGGAACCTTGAACCCCCCTTGAAACATGTGATGAATCTCAAATGTTTTAGACTGGCAGAAATAGGCATTATATTTCGAAATCACATAATACTTGCTAGCAGTAAATTTGTTAATAC